CTCCTGCGGGAGCGGCGACCTCCCCGCCCGCGTCCCTCATGACACCCGCTCCGCTCCGCTCGCCCCGGCGGGGCAGGCCCGGGACAGCGTCCCGATCTCTCACCGGTGCAGCCCGGCCGTCTTCCCCGCGCTGCCGCTGCCTCCAGCCCGGCGGGGCCGCGCAGCCGCCTCAGGGCCGGGACAGCGTCGCCCACATTCCGGCGGCGAGAGGGCGGGCGGGTGCGCGCGCACGGCTGACACGGCGTGAGGGCGGGAGGGAAGGAGGGACGGCGGCCGCTCTCGGCAGCGACAGCCCCGCCGGGAGCCCGGGGCCGCTCCGTGCTGCCGGCGGGGTGCGCGGGGCCAGCGGCTCCGCGGCCGGCCCGGCCCGGCTTCCCGTCGGTGTGGAGGTTTTGTGCGGCCCCATGGGAGTGCTCGCTCTGGGACACAATTATAGAATGGTTTGGGTTGGAAGGGGGCTTAAAGACCATCTCATTCCACCGTCATGCCACGGGCAGGGACACCTTAGACTAGAGCAGGTTCCTTCAACCTCTGTCCAGCCTGGCCTTGGACACTTCGGGGGATGGGGCAGCCACAGCTTCTCTGGGCACCCTTTGGCAGGGCCTCAGCACTCTCACAGGGAGACATTCGTTCCTAATACCTAATCTAACCCTGCTCTCTAGTGGTAAGCAATTCTTCTGGGTCCTGTAGCTACATGCTGTTGTAAGTAAATTCTCCCTGAAAGTTCCCTTCAGGTACTGAAAGGGCACTATGAGGTCACCCCAAAGCCTTCTCTTTTCCAGGCTGAACAATCCCAACTCTCTGAGCCTTTTATCAGAGCAGAGCTTCTCCGTCCCCCTGATCATCCTGGTGCCTTCTCTGGGCTCACTCCGACAGCTCTGTGTTCTTCCTCTGCTGGGAGCCCAGAGCTGGAGGCAGGCGGGGTCTCACCTGAGCAGAGGAGCAGAATCCTCCCTCTGCTGCTGCCCACACTAGTTTTGATAAATGCTTCTCTCCTGCCTGTCAGAAAGCATCCAGCAGGCACTGAAACGTGTCAAAATCCTCGCCCACAACTGAAGGACAATGGAAGCAACCTATAAATCCGCTCTTCGGAAAAAATGAATTAAGGTTGCCTTCAGATTTTGTACCCTGGTCTCGCCAAGTAAGGTAGATTGTGTTTGCTTATAGACAGTGGTTTGGTGTGGTTAAGCAAATATTTTAAAAGTAAATATCTATGCTTAATTAAATATCACCATTGTTTATGTTTAAATAAAATATGTTTAAATTATGACAGCTTGTTGTGTTGGGTTGTGTGTGAAACAAATTACATTTAAATTACCCATAGCATCTGTACAGCTTGTCTGTGTTCTCCCCATTTCAGATGCAGTTCAGCAAAATCTTAAGGAATGTCAGGTCACAGCCTTCAATAAAACAACTTTAGCATAAAAGCCAGTGGGCTGTGTCCTGTTGCCTCTGGGACAACTAGACTGCCCATGTGGGCATTGATTTTAGGCTGTTTTCTTGTCACTAGGGTCAAGAGGTTTGTTTGTTACACGCTGTTTTTTGAGCTGAACTGTCATTAAAAAAACCTGTCTCAACGCTGGCAAGGCAAGCAGGCAAAGGAGAGCATTTCACAGGAAGAAAAAAAAAAAAAAGCCAGACTCTCTGGCCAGCTTCCCATTTAAGAATTCTTACTATTTTTTCTATAAAATTGTATAAATTAAATTACTTCCAGATTACTTTTATCCCACCACAGGTTCGGATAAACCACAAAACCATAGGGAAGGCAGAAGAATTCAGGGGGGAGGAAAATTATTTTACTGAATATTGCAATAGAGAAATAATAAGAAGAGAGTATCCCTGACACTGTCCCCAGACACTGCACACTGGTGTACTTATGTGGGCAATAAACAGGAGGAACCAAAAATCATTATATTCATTACCAGAATTAGGAATATATAGTCATAACTGGTTATTGGAAATGGAGAGTTTGTTCAGGAAGCCTAGGTAGGGAAAAGGAGACATAAGGTACAGAATGAATGACAATATTTTGATCATGGCAAAAAGGAAAAGAACTGTTGTAACCAGATGATTTACAGGGGAAGAGAATATTCCAAATCCAAAACACAGCCCCACACCAGCCACTATGAAGAGAATTAATTCTACCATCCAAATCCACCAACATACAAACAAATGATCAAGCTGAACTACAGAAACAATTTATTCCAAATACTTACAAAAATCATCTGCAATTTTAGACAAAACATTTAGGAAAATGGTTAAGTAATTTGAAGGCTATTAGCAATTCCCTTCAAGAACTCAGAAAAGACACTGAGGTTTCATGAGACCAGCAAAAAGCAAACAGTGCCTACCTAAATCAAAAAAGGATGAGAATTCAGAGGCCAATCACCTTTATTTTGTATCACACACAATTTTGTATCTTCCAAATTACTGGAAGAAATTATTAAGCAAATTATTTGTAAGGCCTTGTATGATAAGATTAATAACAATCAACAATAACATCTCAAAACCAAATTATGGGATCTTGACTGCAGCAAGGCTTCTGACAATATATCAGCTAATACTCCCCTAAGCAGGATCAGCATTGGCTATACAAAACTTGGTTTTGTATAAATGGCACTCAAAAGTAGTATCAAGTTAATTTTGCAGTTAGTCCTCCAGATGCTTACATCCTGAGTCCTGAACTGCTTCTGTGAGGGAATAGGATATGCAATATTTTTTCTCGTATTTGTGGACGATATCCTGTCTAGGTGAGCGCTGTAATCACTTTGAAAGATCTAATTGGAATTGAACAAATCATGATGAGTGGGAACAAAGATCTGAACTAAAGAGGATGTAATTCAATAAGGTGATAAAATACTACACACAGCTGGGAATAATAATTGGCAGCAAAAAAGCGAGTTTGCGACAGAAGCAAAGCAGTTCCTTTCTAGAAAATCCTGGTTCATGGTAGTTCACAAATAGAAAATGAGGCAACAGTGATTTGTGACCTACCCTGTATCACACAGACAACCTGCCACCACCTACCACTCGGGCTGCCCTGCAGTGCCAAACACCTCCTCCATACTGGCATCAACAGTGCTGGGGTGAGTTTTGTTTTGCAGGCAAAAGGGCCAGCGTTCACGTCCAGGGGCCTTGACGGAGTGCCCACACAGCACGGGTGACACGACCAGAAGAAATGCTAAATATTGAATTGTCAGAGCTTATCCTCCCCTCCCCTCCCCTCATACACACACCCACACTGGAACAAAAGAAAAACCAAATGCAAGGGAAAGAAAGAAAACACCCACAATGTTTGCCGCAATGTGGTGGGGAGAACAAAAATGGTGGTGTCTCCTGTCTCAGGGAATGGAAAAAATCCCAAAGGGTTCATGCAGCAGCTTGGGTAAAACAGATGAGAATCTGGTAAATATCTTGCATGAGTCCCCTCTTCACAGCAGACGAAGCTGGTGAATTTGGTGTCCTTTCTCTTGTTCCCTCAGCTTTTCTGAGGTCTGGGCCTGGGATGGAGTGGTCCCTTGCCTTCCTGCTGGTTCCTGGCCAATTCATCTCCCACTGATTGTCCTCTCTGATCTAAAACCAAAACTGAACCAATTAAACCAACCAATTAAAGAAATAAACCACTGAAGGATTGCTGCTGCTGTCTCCAAGGCCAGGGAAAGGGAAAAAAACCATCTTCTTGCCTAAGCTAACAAAACCCAAGCTAGCTAAGCAAAAAAAGGAAACCGTCTGCACAGCACAACGGATGCCTGGGCAGTGAGGCTTTAAATAAAGACCATCGAAGACCCAAGGCTCCCCCCTTCCCTGGACCCACCTTAAAGCTACAGCAACCATTTCTGGATCTAGAACAGATAATCAGGGAATAGAAACCCCAACACAGCCCTGCAGAAGGACCCAAACAGGCTGGATTGATGGGCCAGCACCAGTGGTGTGAGGGTCAGCAAGGCCGAGTGCCAGATCCCTACACTTTGTGCACAATAACCCCTGCAGCTCCAGGCTGGGGCAGAGTGACTGAAAGTCCCTGTTGAAGGCCCTGGGGGTACTGGTGCCAATGGCTGGACAGGAGCCCAGGTGTGCCTAGGTGGGCAAGGAAAAACAAGGCAACACAATGGAGAGGCAAGGTGAGAAAACACAAGAGGGGCAAGGCAAAGGAGGGACAAGATGGAGGCAGGGAAAGGCAAGGAGGGGTAAGTCACAGGGGCAAGGTAAAGAAAGGCAAGGCAAGGCAAGGGAGTGGCATAGGAAGGGTGAATCAGTACAAGGCAGGAGAAGGGAAGAGGGAGGGGAAAGAATGGGGCAAGGGAGGAGCAAAGCATGGCAAGGAAAGTAAGAGGTAGAAGAGGGTCAAGGCAAAGGAGGGGAAGGGAAGGAAAGGCAAGAGAGGGATAGATAAGGCAAGGGAGGGGCAGGCAAAGCATGGCAACGAAAGAAAGTGGTAGGCAAGGGTAGGCAACACAAGGTAGGAGAGGTGAGGCAAGGAATGGGAAAGGTAGGCAAGTCAAAGCTTGTTGAACCAAGGCAACATAAAATGTGTATGTTTTTCAGGCTGGCCATTTCCAATCAGAGGTCTCCATGCAGAGGAGCTTGGGCACAGGGCCTTGATGCAAGGGTGCTCGGTTAGGGATAGTTCTCATTGATGCCTTGGGGAGTTTTCAGACCCAACCAGCTCTCAGGGGCTAAATTGCAACAAAATCCTGTAAACTCTGCTAATAAATATGCATTAAGTGCCCTTGCACAGAGGGTTCATGTGCACAAACACATGTGAATGGTAACACATGATACTGTAAGCCAAACCAGGTGGGAATGTAAAGATGAGCATATTAGTAGTCTTAAGACTGCATATGAGGAAACGAGTGATAACATGGCAAAACAAACAAAAACATGGCAAAACGTAGCTTCTTTCAATGCAACAGATTAATAAGATAAAAGAAAAAATATCGGTGACATTCACATAAACGTGTCAATTTACACCAACAAAGCTCAGCAAAACGTGACTGATCTCAGACGTAGAGTCGCTTTATCTTCCAGACAGATTCTTTCCACCAATCATTCCAACGCTGAATTGCCAGCAGCTGAGCTGCATTTTCTTCCTTGATCTGGGCAAACAGCTGTTCAACTTTACTTTTGTATTTCTGTATTAAAAAAACCAACAATTGAGGACAAAATTAGTAGTGATGAAATATAATTTTATTTGCCTAAATCCAGGTCCTGATGCATTGTGTCAGAAGACTGCATAGAGGCCACTTATTTTTTGCTTTTGACAGCAGAACTGTATGAATAATTAACTATTAGCTGTGTTCCTTCTGTGTTCCTTTTAAGGACTCTTGAAATTGAATTATCAGCAATATTTAAATTTTGCTAAAATGCAAGACCTTCATCTCACTTCCATTAGTTCCTAAGAGTAGACAGTTGCCTTGTCTCAAGACTACATGGGATGCACTCAGCCTCTTACTGGAGCTTTGTAACTCAAAGGTATGAACTGAGCTATTACAAAACTGCTAAAAAGTTATTTCCTCTAGACAGAAACTTGTAGACTACCACGAAAACCTCAAGGCACTTTAATATTCTTAAAGAGTCCATGCTCCAAAACATAAAGTACTGTATTTTTAATGCAACACACATGCAGGAAAATACTCCTGTGGTGTGTGTGCATTCTATATCCAATCCTTTTATCCAACCATTTGTATCCAAACAACCACATTCCCTTCAAATCTGTGCTGTAATCAGGCTCCTGGGCACCAGAACTAGATACATAAAACACACATGCAAACTGATAGTTTTGATGGCATTCGCTACGTTTTGATTGGCAGTATATTTTACATTCCCCTATTAAAAGCAGATATTTTTAATAAGTTAATTTAGTTCAGTGGGAGTACAATTACTTCCAGGTCAGATGCATAAAGACATCTCCAAGCGATTTAACATAAAAATATTCTCCTAACTGCTGAGCACTGCTGTTTTGAGAACTATTGTCTGTGCCAGTCAGAGGCAGAGTTGTCTGCATTCTTTTAACAGACTCAGTGAAGAAAGAGTGATTATTTTGATGGTGGAAACTGTCATCTGTGATAGCTGTGGATATAAGATAGGTGTGAAATATTTTACAGCTCTTCATCAATTATGGGAAAATCAGCTTTTGTGATCTAAGTCTGGATCTAAAGTCTTCAGAAAGAAAGGTGAGTGAAAACAAGCAGGACTGAAATGGCACTGGGACACAGCTGCTTTTTGGAACTATGATGCTGCAAAATGCAGTGTCCTGTTTCTGACACCATCCATGCTTCTCTGCTGAAACAATTCCCCTTTGTCATGTCTCTGATTGAGAAGACTGCATGAGGAACCGACCCTGTCTGCTTCTGACAGCATCACAAGGAAATGGACAAGAGAAAGGATTCCTACACATGAATAATATGGCCTTAAGATCTGCAAACACTGTCTATGTTAAAAACCTACACACACAACAAAGATTCTGTAATTGTCTTCTTAAAAAACCAAACCCATAACAGCAGCAGCCCACTCAAGAGTCTTTCCCCACAAACCCACCTTATATGCAGCTTGTCTTGCATCCACCACTGCCAGATGGCCCAGGGTAGTTGTAGCTGTTGAAACTGATGCAGTTCCTCTGCAAAGAATATAGTCTGGAGTGTCGGGAACAACAGTCTCAGGTATTCCCGGCCAAGACCTACAAAAAACCAAACCAGCCAAAACAAACACATGAGAAAAGAAGTTAGAAAAGAGAACAGATCATACTAATTCACATTGCTTGCACTAAGGTGCCAAAGATCAATGTTATTTTTTTCCCCACAAAAGGTTTACCCTAAAACATCTTTGTTTAGTACAACCACCTGTTCTTTTAAAGCATCAGGATCTCTCCACAGTATAGAATTCATTTCTTCTGAATGACAATACACAGACCACTCAGAGATCTGAATGTAATTAATTGATAACTAGTGGCAAACAAGTGGCATAGCAATAGCAGTGACATGGTATTGTTTTACACTACTATATGTAATTCACTTTTATTTGGACCCATTGCAATTCTGTCTTTAAAATCATTACCCACTCAAACTACCCCATTACTAGTTCAATGACATTACTAATGATGAGCTGCAGTTTCAACAAGTGCAGCAAAAAACTATCAGTTGTTATCAGTTCAGAGAAAATGAATTAGACAGAACAGTGTTCAATATCTGCAAATACTACCTCCTTCCTCGTTTGACTAACTGTTGAACTTTGGAGGTTCCTAGAGGAAGTTCAGTTTGTTTACGACACGTTAAAGTTGGCATCTTCTCTGTAGGTATTTCAGTTCCTGGGAGGTAACAGAAGATATGCTCAGCAGAAACAAAACACTGTCAGGAATACAACTGTTTTGGAGTAATTGTGCAGCTCAATGCTCTTCAGACTCAAAAAATAGCTTTGCAAGTTTTATTACGCAAATTTTTTAATTTAAATCAAATAATCTTAATATCAAAGCCTCCTCTTCCTAGGGACAGACTGCTGCAATCTTTGACAAGGGAGCGGAGGCCTGAACAAGCAATCTCTTCTTACCTGCTACTTTTACATCATCAACAGTGATGGTTTCATCTAGTTCCAACAGGAGCTTTTCAGTGAGGGCAGCCAGTGCAGAATAAAAGCTCTGAGCACACTCAGCAGCACAATCCTGTTATAACATTGGAGACAAGTGAGAGGAATTCCTTTGATAATTGGATCTCCTCTTCTTTTAACTTGGCTCTGAAAGACTACACAAATATCAAACCCTGGCATTCCACAACAGCTGCAGATAACAGACATGAGGCTCAAAGTTGCACATAAAAGGGTCTTGAAGTGTCTCTGCAGTATTCTTAACATTGCCTGATTTTCTAAAGATCAAAAAACTGTAGAGTTTTGAGTATAGGTACCTAGTAGTTACACATTTGGGTTAAACATGATAAAAACAGCTTCCAGCCAAAGAGAAGATCATTCTAGAATTCAGGTACTTTGGGTGGAAGTGCTTAGCCCAGGTGTTACTCTCAAATACCTATTTGTGTTTCTGTGTCTGCATGCAGAGCTAGGAGTAGAAGGAGATACTATGGAATTAAAAATACCAGTACTCTGCAGACAGTGTAGAATTTGGAGTAAGTGGCCTGAGAGAACTAAGCAACAGGCTTTAATGCTGGGGAACCAACTTTCAATTAACCCAGGGGGCAAAGGGGGGAAAACATTTTGATTCCTGAATCTCTCCTGTAAATTCAGCTTATTTCAGTTCTTAATCTTATGTAGAAAAGTGTCATTATTTGCACTAATGAAATGCACAAAGAAGAAACCCTTCCAGGCATCTGTTGTCTGGAAGTAAGAGAACTAACCAGAGGATGTCACCTCCACAGCCAATACTCCTACCCACCATTAAGCTCACAGCCAGTAGCTTCTATGAATGATATAAAATATCAATAAGTTCTACAATGTATCTAAGCAGCTGTGTGTGTGCAGATATATTTATGTCTATGTTGATCTAATGCTGACAGTACATAACTTAAAATATAGCAATATATGAACAGGATTGCTTAAAACTGAAAAAAAATTTCAAGTTTCCTTTGGATGGGGAGGAAAAACTGTATCCAAAATACACCCTTCTTTCCAAATACAACATTTAAGGTCACATTAAGCAAGGGTTTTACAATTACCTGCAGCATCTTTGTGTTGAGGTGAACCCCATCAGTTTGATCTTTTTGCCTTTTTATTTCCTCTTGGCACAAAGCCTCCAGCTGAAGGGTATTATTTGGGTGTCCTAGGGAGTAATGTAATTTTCTCCAGTGCGTAGTCTTTAAGCAAGTATGTAAGAAAGAAATGCCTTCAGTAAAGAATACACTGTGAGTCATAAAAAGGAAGAAGTAAACCACAAACATTTTCTATTAAGGTATTCAGAAAGACAAGGAAAATGGAGCTACTTCTTGGCTGTCTCGATAAGAAGCTTTGCAGTGCAATCTGCACCAAATTGTCTCTCTGCTGGCCTCTGGTCTCACTTTGGGATTTATTTTCAACAAAAAATCATCTCTTCCACCACGAGGTAAGTAAGGTATTTTTTTATATCTCTTTATTTGTAATTTTTACCTAATTTTTAATACTCAGACACAATTTCTAGACACTTTAGCATTTTCTGTGTGATCTCCATTATGATACTGTTTTCAGTTCTGATATTGCTTGACAAAATATGCCTCTTTTATGAATTTCATTATGTGTGATATGTATTTCATTATGTACTATCATTTATGTATTTCATTATCACTACATCACAGTTCTTACAAAGGAGTGCACCCATACAGTAGGAGCTGTCTGGCCATACTCCAAGGTCACAGACCTCACAGAGTTGACAATCCAAGTGTAAGATGACAGGTAGAGCTGAGAAGATTAGAAAGAGGCAGCCCAGTGCTGGAAGCTGGGAGAGAAGGGACAGAGTTCCACAAAATCCAAAGCTTCCAGGAGAACTAAACAGACTAACTGCAAACACAGAAAACTGTATCTGTGGTCAGCTCAGCAGAGAGTGATGAAGCAAACAGTGAGAATGAGAAAAATAAAATGTTATCAATCTGATGCACTTACCATGGGTTACACTACAAAGCATTCCAGAATGTCCATGATACATACCTTCACATCCTCCCAATCTTTCAGCTGTCTGTTGAAGAGATGCTGAATATGACCAGTAAAAGAGCTGAGTTTCTGCTCATGTTCTTTTAAAAGACTTTCCACGACCAGTTGGGAAACAGAAGAGAGCTCCTCCTCAAAGCACTTCAGCTGATCCCGAAATTCTTTTTGGAAAAGACAGGGTGTGCATGTGACACAAACAGCCTGGAATTTTCTCTCACAGAGATTGTGTCTCTGACATTGCTTTTTCTAGTTGCAATGCTTTGAGAAACATACACTTGCTCAAAGATGTAACATTTAATTTAGTCAAGTGCCCTTCTGCTAGACTTTTTGTAGCTGATAATACATACAAAAAGAATATTGGCTCAATTTCCATTAAAGTCAACTGGAATTTTTCCACTGAGTGTGATGGATTGTGACGTCAACAACATAATTCTTGGTCACTGCAATTTTCAGCTTTCATACTGAAAAATTACATACACATGAAAATGCAAGTCTTAACTGAATAAATTTACCTCTAAGACAGAAATTGTAGTAATCATCTGTCTGCCTTTGGTATGACAGTAGTTTCACTCTCAGCATTTCTGCCCAATGTTCAAATGTGTCTGGCAGATCTTCAAGCATTCCCAAGTAAGGATTCTTCTTTTCTCCATAGAACTCCTGCAGAAGGGAAAGATAAACCAGAAAAAATGTTGACAACACATTTAAACACATTACATGTAGGTAAATAACAGTAGGAGAAGAAAATAAACTTTCTGGACAGTCTGCCAAATATTAAAAGAAGCAAATAATTTCTCTGACACAGGAGTACACCTATGAAAGCAGAACCAACTAAAGAACATGACATTTCCTTACCTCACCAAGGCAGAGCAAGGTGTTGTTACCATTACAGAGAATATCCATAATAATCCCCTTAAAAGTACTGAAAACCAAAAAAAAAATTAAAAAATTAAAAATATGATCACACTGTTAAATAATCACACTGGCAATATTCATTGTTTTTCAAGTATTTTGTTCAGGTTAATTTTAGTACATTTTTCAGAGCACACACAAACCAGTGTTCAGAATGCTTAAGAACCTTCCCCCACATTAGCACAGATTCTCTTCAGATGCAGCCAGTACAACAGGCTATTGTAATTGCTCACTGGAGAGCACTGCCATATCACTGTCACAAAAAAGCAATCTTAGCCAAATTCCTGTGCCCAAAGAGCTTATCATGCATTTCAGATGAAGCAAAAATATTTCAAGGTGGGTCTAGCTGTTTACTGGAATTATTTTGAAACACTATGGAATAAAGTTCCCAAACACTTAAACACCTTAAGCATTAATTTGAATAGTTTTGCATGGCATGTACAAAATATCTCAGTTCTACAAATTACAGCTGCACATATGAAGAAACAATATATAATTTTCTTAGAGAAGGGGAATGGAACCTCATTTCTTCCCATTAATGGAATACTGAGTAAAAGAATAAAGATATAAAATGTATTTGTCTTCTTAGATGTGAAAATAATTGAAAGAGAGGCTATTTGACATTCCCCACCCACTTATAAAAGTACAAAAGAGGCTCCAGTAAGACCCCCACTTCAGATATGAGACAGAATGAACCAGATGACTTACATCTTTACTATTATTACACTGCAAAAGGAACTGTTCTGGAAGTACTTTGACCTATAAATATCAAGGCTAAATACCTCAAAATTCAATGATGAACTCTATAGGTCACAATGATAGATAGATAGATAGATAGATAGATAGATAGATAGACGGATGCATACATACATACATATAGAGGGTTTTTATAGATTAACTTCTTGTTCTGGAAATATATGACTTACTCAGACTTTGTAGCATTATTTCCAAATAGCTGGGATCTTTCATCCTTGGTAAGAGATTTTCTGCCTTTTTCACTGGAAAGGAAAAACATTAATTTGAAACTGTCCACAAGTGCTTTCCTTCTCTGGCTGATGATTTGAGCTAGTTAGTCATATGACAGACAAGAAACTGAAGAAAAATTAGTAAAAACCTAACTCTAGAACTAGTATTCTATGTGTCCTGGTTCTGGCCAGGACAGGGTTAATTTCTGCAGCAGTCAGGATGGCGTATGGCCAGGACCTGGAGGTTATTCTCTACCTCTCATCATTGTGGGGGTGGCTGGAAAGGTCCCTGCTGTTGGGGAATGTGGTGGCAGTCTCAGGGGTTTCCTCATGGTGAGCATTCACATGTGAATCACTTGCCTCTCTTGTACACTTTGCTGTTAACATTGCTGCTGTTACTATTAGGTTTTTTTTATCTCATTGCTATTTCTAATAAATTGTTCTTATCTCAACTTTATCTTCACCTTTTGTGCCTCCAATTTTCCTCTGCAGCTGCTGCAGGGAAAGGGGAGTGAGCAAGCAGCACAGGGTTTTGGAGTGTTTTGCTAGTAGCACATATACAAAATACTATATATTATCATGGTTTGGGAATACAGTTCCCAAACCATGATAAGATATAGTATTTTGATGGAAAAAGGTTCTCAGAATTCTCTTCTAAACTCTCAGTTGTTCAAAAATTTTTTGTTGTTTTCACTATTACAGTAGCTCATTTCATCAATCTGTGGACTCAGCTGAAGACAAACTATTTAGACACACCTGAAAATCAAGCCACATTGATTTAAGGGTTAATCTATATTTCAACAACTTCAAAATACAAAACAGCAGCAGATGAAGGAGAAAAAGAATAATATTTTTCCAGTCAAAATCTGGGAGGAAAACCCCACAAAACTGATCATGTGGACATAAATAGGTAAGAGATTCCAAGCGATAAGCAGTGGATGGAAAGAAGGCTATACAAACGACAGGTAAGAATCTTTCAATTAATAGACAAAGTCTAGGTAAATTTCTTGCATAGGAATATTTGAAGTGGAATTCCTCCTTTTAGGGGTCTCACCTTTTTTTTCGCTTGGTTTCATCCCGAGATGACCTCTTGCTAGTAGACTTTTGAGAATTTGCATCAGATACCCTCTTCTTTACTGGGGGAAGAACTGCTTATAGTTAACAAGGAAAGAAGAATATTGCACAAATGCCAACTGAAGTGCTTTTTATGTGTGTATATATATATTTCGTATTCTTATTTCTATAATGTTTCCTTACAATTTTATGTGTGTATATATATATATTTCGTATTCTTATTTCTATAATGTTTCCTTATAATGTTTTCCATGGAGGGGACAACTACAGGAACAATCATTTCTGTCAGACAGGCCTGAAGTAACCCAGAAGTGGCAACAGCAGTAAAGGTTATGTGCTGGGGCATGAGTCCCAGGAATGTCACAGAAAATACATGGTAGATGGAAGAGATTTAAAGCAAATTGGAGGCAGGTGAAGAAGGAGAATGAATGGGCTACATTCATAGTATTGGTGGTCATGGGGACTTGCAGATGTGGAAGAGATTGAGGATAGCTTTGGAAATGGCTGCAGAAGAGAGATGAGGAAATGGGAACACTAGGTAGGAAGCATCTGGGGTTACCTCCGTGCTCACCTTTGAGTAGATGATGATACAGTGTGAGAAGGATCCCTGATTCCCTATATACTTCATGATTTCTGCTCTGCTTCTTTTCTCAACCCCATTTCCCTTTTGCTATCACAAACACAGGTATTCTTTATAACATTATTATCTTATTCTGCAGTTTTCATTGCTTTAGGAGCCCCAAATCATCTTTATCTAAGTAAAGATGTCCAGGGAAAGAGCTGAGAAGCACAACTATCTCAGAGCTCCTAGCATAGAAGCCACTGGCCTGGATCATACTAGACCTGTGCAATAAAATGCCAGGAACTACAATTTAGATGAAAAGAAAATATTAAAAGAAATACAGGCACACCTGGATTCTTTTTCCCCCGATTTAGGTCTCGATATTTTTTTGTTGGGTCAAATCTGAAAAGAAAAAAAAATAAAGAGCTAAGTACTACTGCATATCCTGTCATTTTATGTTCTATACTATATTATATAGCAAACTAGGCAAGTTCTCTATCCCTATCATGTGCTAAGTGAATTAAATTTCTGAGATTATATTTAACAGATAGGGTTACTTTTACAACTGACAGTGTATATAGAAGTGATTTCATAGGAGTGATTGTTTAACTGGAATTTTGGAATTTCTACAGGCAAAACTGCATTAAAATACTATTTGCAAATCAACCATTTGTCACACTCTTCATTTTACACTTTGTATATTCAGTCACCTAGGTAGCAGGTAATAACCTGCTCTAGAAAATAAGGCTCTAGAAGACAAAAATTAAATACCTAAAATTTATCATTGTATACTAGATGTCACTCACAAAGGGGTATTTTTGGCTATGAGAAATCTTGGATTTAAAAAGAAAGTCTCAGCTAGACTAATTTTTAAACTTAGACTGATTAGAAAATATCTAGTAGTATTACCTATGACCAGTCTATTCACTAGTTCTGGGCAAAGAAAATATAAATAAAGACATGGACAGAAAAATACCTTTAGACAAACAAGTACTTACCCAGCTAAATTCCCAATAACTTTTATTGCCAAATCATCAAATATTGATGTATCCATTCCGCTTGGATTTAACAAAGGGAATTTGTCAGGATCCAGTCCCATCACCATCCTTTTGCTCTCATCTCCGAGACTCTCTTTTGGAACAGCAGGAGCAATGAAATCTTGTGACCTCCCATCCACGTCGGGAGTGGCTAAGTGCTCTTGCAATGTCCCATCTGTGTCAGCAGTGGTGAAGGCCTCCTGAAATGGGAAGAAAAATGAAGCCCTGTAGACCACAGCAGGCAGTTCCATGCATTCCATGTAATGACTGACTACTAGAGCAGATTTTTTAAACAGACAATATCTTGCTTCACAGGCTGAAATAATTTTTTTGTCATTCTAACAGCAATGTTGTTACAGCTATTCAGCTCTAAAACACTTAAAAGCAGTTAAAAGTAGGTTCTCATAATCATCATAAACAGTATTTAAGGATATACTCTTAAAACAATGATCCACTGAGATGACAAACTAAAGACAGACTTTCCAGAAAAGGGAGGAAAGAAAACACAACCTGTTAGATAAAAACAAAATCCTTTCAGGACACATTTGGGATTTAAAAAAAAATATTTTAAAGAAACCTGTGAAATATATACCTCTGAACAGTGCTACACCTTGAAAACAAACTCTTGTGAAGAACTGAGCAACTTATTGCAGAGCCATGTATCTCTTCAGCATTTTGGAAACTTGCTGATTTACTCAGCCTCTTAAAAAGGCTGTCCTAATGTTACAGTGTCTTTGACACCTTGGCATAATGCAGATTGTTTTTTCATTTGAGAATTCAAAGCACAAATTCTGAAAATCCATTAAAACATGTACATATGAAAATTCTCTCAATATTAAATAAAATACAGAGAACGTGAATGTTATCTTACAGTGGCACATGGGATCTCTGCCTTTACTACAAAGCAGTCAAGATACTTGCTCCTCTTTTTCAGCTCTTCCAACACCTCTCTGGCAAAAGCATACAACCCTTCAGAAGTTAAAACCTGAAAGATACGGTAATACAGATGGTATTCACTAAATTGACTGTTCTAACCTTTTCACACATGCTGACTCTTGCAAACAATATTATTTGCCTTTGTTCTGTCACCAGTTTATGTACATATACATGGAAGCAATGAGATTGTATAAGAAGCTGAGGTTTTGGCTTGGCAAACAGGAAAACAGGTACTGACTGTCCAAAAAGGACTGTTGGGGTTTTAAAACCAGCTGGAAATTAAGCACCACACAGCTCAACCCTCCTTCTCTCCCTCCTTGCCCTGGTGGAATGGGGAGGAGAATCAAAGGAAAACTTGTATGTTAAGAACAGTTTAATCATTGAAAATAAAATTAAATACAGTGATAATGGTAAATAATAATAATAATGACAGTAAGAAGTGAAAAACAAGTGATGCACAATACCATTGCTCACCACCTGCTAACCAATGCCAGACCCCCATTCCTGAACCCACACTGGCCCTTCCAGATAACTCCCCCAGTTTATAGACTGGACATGACATTCCAGGAGCTGGAATATCATTTCTGGCCAATTTAGGTCCCCAGTCTCAGCTGTGCTCCCTCCCAGTTTCCTTTGTGAACCTCCTCAGTGGCAGAGCAGGAGACCAAGAAAAAGAAGTCTTTGGCTTAGGATAAACAGGACTTAGCAAAAACTGAGTTATCAACACCACTCTCATCCTGAATCCAAACCACAGCACTGTAACAGCTACTGAGAAGAAATTAACTCTACCCCAGATGAATCCAGGACAAGAACCTTTCTGAGCAAAAATTCTGTGTTTCTGCCCAGCCCCAAATATGAGGAAACATAAGTCTTCCTGAAAAATATTCGTTTATACCAAATTAATAACAATTAATAACAAGTCAAATTAAATACCATTTCCTGCTGATTAGAAGTTACTTCTTTATCTGCAGTAGAATGAACATAAGCATCTCTCTTCTGCTGGAGCTTTTCCAGGTAAGACTTTAATGTGACTGACTGCAAATTGGAATTCGCTACCTAAAGCAGAAGCAAACTTTAGAAAACTGGATAAGTCAAATCCCCATTCACAGGAATTTCTGAGGCTCCAGTTTCAAACCATCAGAACCACTGACAAAAACTGGTTAAAAACCCCCGGTACTCAGAGGAGAAGCTGAAAACAGTAATTCACAAAAGCAGCTGCACCACACAAAAATATTGGTGAATTCAGATGTACATACTCAATGTGCTGCAAGGCCACAGTGTTCCAGCACAGCTGCAGCAGTAATAAAAATAAACTTTTAAGTGGATAGTGACAGAAAACAGATTTTAAATTAACATTAAAAATTATGTAATATTTGTCTACTGTGAATTCAGCTAAAATCTCCTCAAAGGTATAAAAGAAAATTATTATATTGAATTTAAGCAAAGTTCTGATGTTTCTGTTTGTACCTCTGATTTGATTTGCTGTCGTAGCTTTCTCAAATATTGATGGACCTTCTCCATAAAGGCTCGACCCAGAGACAGAGAAGCAAACTTTTTTCCAGACTGCTTGAAAAGGTCAGTAGCCTTTAAGAATGTTAGAAACAAAAGACAAGATAATTTTTCACTTTTTAAAACTTAAATGATAGAACTTGCCATTCTACTAATTTTTTCCATCATCTAACTGCCAAACAGGACAGACTTACAGTTCTAATCTGAAAGCAGGCTGACTGCAAATCACATCAAATATGTCAATAGAAAACATCATTTGAAATAATGTAATTCTGCATACCTGCTCCAAGCAGCTCGATTTTATTTTCTCTACATCCACCTTGATTGAACTTTCAAAGGAGTCAATTTCCTTACTTTCTTTCTGAAGACACTCGTTGAAAAACTTTACCTCCTCAGATGCAAAGTCACCACCATCTGAAAATAATCTGAAAGCAAACATATAAACAATTGGCTTTGAGTCATTTTACTCCAAGACCATTCTAGCTAAACAGCCCTGAAACAACACAAATGTGATAAAAACAGCATTATAATTGTGGTCTAACAAGATACATTTCTTTTTTTAAATAGGAAACTAGATGAATAACAAAATAAACTTTACTTTTACTGTTCTGCCTATGCAACAAACACCAATTCCCAGAACTAAATCACCATTTATAAACAACAATTCCATGAAATCTATGTACCTGCAACTTTTGAGAAAACCCACATTTGAGTCCCTTAATTTTCCTAAAGCTTCCTCCAAGTGCTGCTGGTAACTTCTCACAGTAACCCTGATTGATTCCAGATGGTTGTGGAGCTCTGATTCCAGATTATTGCTGGAAGAAACTAACCTAACAGCAAATAATAAAAGACAGAGAAAACATGTCTAATGAGGAACACACATGATGATTCAGCAACTTCTGGCTGTAAAGACATGAAAAAAATTGAGGACTCCGAAGTTATTTATGACTCTCAAAGCAACTCCCTGAGCTGGGATGGTTTGGATGAACCCATGGAAGGTATCAGCAGCAGCTGATACTATTGGGCACTTTTCTTCCAAAACAATTAGTCAAACTGATATTACTGTGCACGTTCAGTAAACTGGATAAAATCTAAACAGATGAAACATCTTTTCTACTTAAAGATTGCCAGCACTTTGAAAGGAGATGAGAATTTCCAAGAGTTCAGTCCTGATTTTAATTTCTTCAGGGAGAGAATGAAATTCTTTATGTTTTCAAGTTTTATGAAGTAGTCTTCATTGAAGAGCACTGACATATAAAACAGGTTCAGAATGCAAACCATAAACATCCCAGACAGCAATCAGGAGTATTTAACTAGGGAGATTCACAGCAACAGCAGTGGCACACTTACTGCTCAGTCACAGGAGCGTGGAGCAAGTCATACTCCAAGTTACGGACTCGGGAATGAAAGCTTGTGTTGAGGTTATTGAGCTGGTCTGAAAATCGGAGGAATTCATCTTTCTCCTTTTTCAGGACTTCTGCCAGCACTGCACAGTGGCACTCAAGGTGCTCTTTGTGAAGTGACAGCTCCGCTGAGAAGAAAGGAAATTTACAATAGGGACATTATTTCCTCTTTACTGTGAGCTATCACAATGCCCAGCTAAGCTGTGAACAGCAGCAGCAGCAAAATAAACAAAGCCAGACCTCACATTAGCTAAAACATACACATTAAATACATTCAATTTGGTTTCTTTGATTTTTCTCCTGTGAAAGACATCTATCTTTAACAGCTCTTAATCCATTCAAACCACAAATGTCCCCTGCTTGCTCTAAGCATCCTTTTCCTTTTATTTTTGGTCATTGATGACATCTCCATTATCTCTCTGTTCTCAGTGTTGTAAAAAAACTAAAAGTTATATTTTTTTAATGGAAAATACACTTTTCCTGGTTTTGTGAGGGAAAGAAAAAAATCAGTTTTGGTCTCTCTTCTGGAATGGTAGCTGCATAAATCAAGAGCCAGCCAATCACCTCAAGAAAGCTACCAGAAGAAGCACTGTCCTCTCTGCAGAAAAAGAGAAATTGAAAAATTATTTGCCTGTTTTCCAAAAGAAGAATTTTTTAGCTTATGTGTTAAAGACCAACAAACCTGTCTAAAATATTTTTTTCTCACCATAAAAACCTGACACTTCCCATGCAGAAAAAGTTTTCATTAGAAGATGCTCTGTAGCTGCTCAGTGATATATCACAGAGTTAAATCCTTCCTCTCCTGTTTTCAGAAGCTTGGCCCTGACATTTTGGCTCCCTCAACTGGCTACCTTCTTTTTCTGCAACACTTTAAAAATATTTTTTGTACACCACAAACTCTTGTTACATAATTTCAAGGTGGATGAGAATTCACCAACATTGACAATAGAATGTCCAACATCATCTACAATCCAGTCGTTAATCAAGGCACTGCTGTCAATTTTTCCAAAAATAACACAGCACAAACCAGGAAGAGCTATAGAAAAGAAATGTCATTTAAGAAATACATGAGTAGCATAATATACTGGGAATTCAAAGACACTCAACTGCTTTCTGTTGTCCTCTATTACTGACTCCACTACTGCTGAAACAGATTTTGGACCACTTAGGACTATCTCTAAATGAAGACATGTGATGCTAACAACACAAAAAAATGTCAATACCAGCTCGAACACTGTAGATATTTGTCTGTATCTCCTCCTGCTTTTGTTGATGCAACTTAAGATGCAGCAGAAGTATTAAATTCAGCTCCTCTTTCTTGGCAGCTACGAAGACATAGGAGTTGGACAAGGATTCTGCAAACCATTCCTCCAAGTGTTCAAAAAAGCAGAGGCGAATCCTATGATTGAAAAAGAAATATTACAACCAGGAATAGTAAATAATAAGTAAGAATATATTGAATATATTATTTCTAAAAATTCAACTTCTGGCTATAGGAAGGCACAGTTTCAGTACATTTGCACAACACTGATAGTTTTTGAGTTAGCTGCTTAGTACTGAGTTGCAGGCATTTTACCTTCATGGCTCTGCAGTAAATTTAGGCAAATTCCTTGTCTTTCTGTAATATGTTTTCTCACTAAATAATTTTCCATAAAATATGAATGTTCTGTAAAGGTAAATGTTTTTGTCGTACTTTTACATCCATGGATACCAAGCAATGTAAATATTTTCTCATATTTGTATCAATTTAAAAAGTGGAATAACATAATAATTGTCCAATCATAATTTTATAATTAAAAATCTAACTATATAAATATCTAATTATATAATAGTAATTAGATAACTTTTGCCTCTCTACTCAAATGTTTCTTTTAAACAGGTGAAATCTGTCTATCACATGAAGAGAAAGAAAGGACAGAAATTGTTCTCAGCTCACCTTTTTTTCAGTTCAACAAACGTGGCTTCTGTGAGAAGTACATATTTCAGGTACATAGGAAGTGATCCTTCTTTTTCATATTTTATAAAATCACTCTCTGTGATGTCAGTCTTTCCTGCCTCTTCAACTCCAAGAACAGTGTAAGTGTTTCCACTAGCAGTGGAAAAAACCTCTGTGACAATTTCAGCACTTTCTCCCTCGCTGCTCTTGGACACGGACTGGGAAATTGTTGGAAATTATCACGTTACTTTTTGAAGTATCAGCATAGAATCAACAGTGCACCAGCTAGTGTAAGAATCCTAAGGATATTTAGAATAATGTTCTCATTCTCAATTTGGACATTTACACAGCGCTGGCAATATTTATATATTTATATTTACATACACATATATCCATATTTATATATTTATATGCCAGCAAGACATAGGCAGAGTTGACAATGTTTTAAAAGGTTTTTCGTTATGGTAATAAATTCATGGAAACAGAAAAATTAATACTTAAGTACAAATACTTGGTTTAAAACATTGATCACAGGCTGAGAACAGTGTGATAAAAGATTTAAAAAATGATGCAAAGGGTTTCTACAAGGGTAAAAGATCCAAAAGAATGGTTGTGAACTGTTTTATACACTCCATTTTCCCGTAAAAGGATCTACAGCCCTGTGTGCTTTGTAAGCAAACTAAGCAAAAAAGGACTATCTACTCATTCTCAGCAAAAAGACTTCCTATTCCTCCTTATTTTGGACAGGACTGCCTTCACCTTCAAATTTATTCTCTTGCTCACTTACCTGTGTAATGCTTAGTCCCTGTTCTGCATGCTCATTTTCTTCACTTTTATGAGGAATACTCTCCTCTTCTTCTTCTTCTTCCTCTGTTTCTTCAATTTCCTGTGCCAAGATCACCTGTTTCTGTGTTAGGTTTGTTTCTCCAGCTGATTTCTGACAACTGTCCCTATCTTCTGGCACCAGCTCAGAGAGGTGATCATCCTGCTCTGCTCTGGGCTGGGATGTCCTTGCCTCGAGCCCTGGGGGCAATTTTGGATGCCACAATGTCAGAAAGACCTAAAGTTATTACAGGAATCTCCAAAGGAGGAACACAGAGATAGTGAAGGGTCAGGAGAGGAAACCATACAAGGAGTGGCTGAGGGCATTTGGTTCAGCTGGAGAAGAGGAGACTGAGGTCACACCTCACTGTCAGCTGCAGCTCCTCTCGAGGGCAGCGGAGGGGCAGCTCTGATCTCTGCTCTCTGACCAGGGACAGGACTCAAAGGATGCCTGGAGCTGTGCCAGGGGAGGGTCGGGCTGGAGATCAGGAAAAGGCTCTTCCCCAGAGGGTGCTGGGCACTGCCCAGGCTCCCCAGGGAATGGGCACAGCCCCAAGGCTGCCAGAGCTCCAGGAGAGTTTGGACAACGCTCCCAGGGATGCACAGGGTGGGATTGTTGGGGTGTCTGGGCAGGGCCAAGAGTTGGACTTTCACAATCCCTATGGGTCCCTTCTAGCTCAGGATACTCTGTGATTTTCCTCTCCTTCCTTGATGCTCTCAGCTTGCTGCTCTACCATATGTTCACCTTCTGAAGCCTCAACTACTTATTTACAGGTAAAGCAGAGTTCTTCTGATTACAATCCAAAGAAATACAGATTGAAAACCAACCAAGCAGAAATACCTGTTTGGACTGTTGAGCTATTATCTTGATCTTGAACTCTGGAGTCTGTTGTGCCTTGCAAGTTCTAAAAGCAAAACAACAACAAAAAACACCCACCACACCATTTTAAAATATGGATTTGCTTTCTTCTAAGAAACCCATATCCCTTCTCAAAATGTATCTATTTCAGTAAGATACGACCGTCTTGAATAGACCACTCACTATCTAAAGAACCTGTAACACTCAAACCAATTACTTTAAGTCTGTTACCTTGTAGTTTTCTGTTCAAAACCCAAGTGAATTTGCTAAAATTCTGTTTGTGACAAGGACAGAGTTAAAAGTGTGGGACTGATAAATATTTTGGTTTCCCTCTGCTATCTCTACCGAAATCACTTTATTCAACGGCTGAAACAGTACTTTATATAATCAGAATTTTAAAGGTAATATAAATTTTCTCTAAAGTAAAACAATAATATACCAGTAAGGTTTTAAACCAAAAGAAATTTTCTTTTTACCTGTTTGAAGATTTCCTTTACACTAAAATGCTGGCTGATGGATATACTGTAAGAAATCAACTCCCTCAAAATAGCTTTTGGATAAGCCATTATTTCATTCATTGCAATCTCCTTCAATGTCTCATTCCTGTCAAATTTAAGGTCACTGTTTAAGAGACTCAAGTATGTATAGATAAAAAATTAAGTGTGACTACAGTGCCTTTAAATCTAAATCTAACTTTTTAAATCAATCTCATAAAACCTTTAGGCTAAACGTTGCTGTTGATATGTTTATATTGAATACAATCACATCCTAGCTTGTTAGAGATTAGTTCATTACAAACAAATAAATGCACAAAAGATAAGAAATATTTACAATAAACCCTTTTACATCCTTCCTTTTGGATGGGGAGCCATTCAAACACTGCCTACATAAGAGAGGTCAAATTACTGTCTTCCATATTAGTTCTTCATTGTGCCCAGCTGTGACTGAGCCTTTCTGGTTTATTTTCATTTTACCTGAAAATACAAACTAATGGTTCAAGCTGAGTCTATATTAAAGAAAAATCAGCATTCACACTTGTTTTCATTTACATTTGCTTTGTCTCCTAAACAAAGATAATTATGGGGAATTTATGTACATGTTCAGATAGGTTACATTGTATTTTCACTTGGTCTGTTACCTCTGGCTTTTTAAAAACTGTTTGAATGATTATTAAGATTATCAAACCCCCAGCTCTAACCACAAACCCACTGTGAGGTGTGTGAAGGTGTGATTCTGCCCCTCATGTCCCTATTGCCCTTCTAACGTGCCTCTGATCTAACAGGCAGAAAAGACCTCCTGGGTGTAACAACAGAGCTGCTTCCTCTCAGGTTTCACACCTGCTGCTAAGGTCTTTAGCAAGGAGAGCAGTATTGCAGCAATTTTTATATGTTTTTTAAGGTTGCAAATGCCTAATCACAAGAAGGATAACAGAGAACTTGCCAAAATAAATACTTTGGCTACCTTAAAAATCTTAGTTCTTGCAACGTTGAATGAGATCAAGTTTGAGTGCAGATATGGTGGTGCAGACCAACTCCTGATTCCTGTCATTTAACAATCTGAACTACTACTTTTACTTTCTGAATAAGGCATGGCTGTGATGGTATGCACAGTAATACTGATGTGGTATGGTTTTTAAACGATAACTGTCTTTCTTTGTCCCATTCCTAAACTGTGGGTATTATTTGCCTTAACCTTGTTCAATATGTACGTTATTTTATATCCTTACATAAAGTAAAACAGCCTTTTCCATACCTTACATGAAGTAAAACAGTCTTTCCATACCTTCACACAACAGCATAAACCAGGCCTAAGTAGTACAACCAATGTTAAAATATGCTTTACTTTTTAAATTTACAATAAAAAATTCATACCTAGTTCTAATTTGATCTAAAGAAGAAAGGGCATTCTTCAAATATTGCTCCAGCTCTTCTTCACAGCTGGCCATTTTCATTTTTTCCAGAATTGTATCCAGATCATCTTTCATCACCTAAGGCCACATTAAAAAGCTAGTAAAAATTATTTAGAATATACTAAAATCTCCATAACTATTTAGGATTCAAGTAATTTGATTACGTACATATATTCTACACCAAGACCTTAGCAAAACTCATCACCTATGAATATCTTCCTAGATAATGAACACCTCTGACATAGCCACCCCAAGCTGGCTGTTTTAACTATGAGAATTTGGCATCCAACCAGACTCTACACCTGCACAAGATCTCATAATAGCAACTTGCAGCCACTTAGTACAGAAAGCAGCAGTGATCTTTATCACTTCTGCCATATCAAGACAGGACTGTCCGTTCAGTGTGAATCAAGCAGTTAGCAAAAATGCACTTGACAGACTGAAACTGAAAAATAGAAATTCTAATATAAAGTCAGATATTATGTTTTTCTTTTTATAGCAGCTATTTTGAATTCCAGAGGGTTATTTGTATTAAGAAATCCTTTCTTTACGTTATGCCACATCCTTGTTTTTATGTTTATACCTGTATTATTTTATCCTTTTGCAATCTGTATTTATCTACTTTCTTCTGAAGTACATCTTCCTGCAGGGACAGTTTGGACAGATGGACATCCCAGAGACCCATGGCCTCCTGAACATAGCTGTACAAGCCTTGACAGTGCTGCTCATGCCATTTAGCCATCTCCTTAAAATCATTCTAAAGAAAAACATTCAAGTGAACAAGTTATTTATAAACTACTGGAAGGTGAAATGAATGAGTAAGAAGATATGTAACATGATAAAAGGCTGCCTGGAATTACACAACTGGTGTTCAACATTGTGTCTTCTATGTGGAGATTAAAATAAAGTAAAATCCAAGTAAACTGGGTAAGATTGTGGATTTTTATTCTAAAAAAAGAGTATCAAAACTTCTGCTTATTCTGACAGCATAAAGCACCAAATCACATTCTACAATTTATCTCTTTATGAACAACTGCCCAGTGATTTTTATGTATAGGATCACAACAAATCAGATTGGAAGACTTGGGAGAGCATTTCAATCTATTTCTCTGCCTTTTAGCAGATTGGGCCATACCTCATTTACCTCTATCATACATATTTCAGAGCCATCTTGGCAATGAAAATCAACCAAAGAGACTGTTGTTGTTCGAGGCCAACTGTTTACTACCCAACAAGGAACTAACTGTAATCTACCTTGCTCCTACATCCACTGTAAATAAACTCCCTGTAATGCATTGCACCCAAAAATGCTCCTTGTCTTTAGGAGGAATATTCAAACATAGTGTTGGATTTCTATACATACTCCTCTCTTAATTTATTACACATGGAGAAAAAAACCCCAACAACCCATCTTTGTCTGCCCATTTTTACCATGTTTCAAATGTCAGTAAGATTTATTTATAGCCATCTTGGCAATGAAAATCAACCAAAGAGACTGTTGTTGTTCGAGGCCAACTGTTTACTACCCAACAAGGAACTAACTGTAATCTACCTTGTTCCTACATCCACCGTAAATAAACTCCCTGTAATGCACTGCACCCAAAAATGCTCCTTGTGTTCAGGAGGAATATTCAAACATAGCAGTGTTAGATTTCTATACATACTCCTCTCTTAATTTACTACACATGGAGAAAAAACCACCAACTTCTAGTTCTCCACCCATCTTTGTCTGCCCATTTCTACCATGTTTCAAATGTCAGTAAAAATTACTTTTGTATTCCTGCATTTTTAGCCCTCGATCACCACCTATTTAGTGTAGCTGGTGCAGTGAAAATCAAAAATGTATTTTTTCCATTACAAAGAGCTCTAGAAAAATAGGTTTAGACCCTGTCTTACTGCTGAATTTAACAATTACACACTGACAGAAAGCAAAGTGCATTTTGTAGCCAAACCCCTCATTAACTCCAGAAAGAACTGTTTTCCTTTATGCTATATCCTCTTTTGCCATACCTAATGTGCTGCAAAACCCTCAGTCTCTGTTCACTGAGTACAATCTGCTCCTTTATCATATTTTCCATTTCCATTTTCACAGCTTGGGGATTCTGTATTTCTTCATTTGCTATAAATTCTCTGCAGGACAGAATAAAGATATGTATAATGGAAACATGATCTCATACATTATATCATATATGATATGCATAAAGAAAAAGTAACTTTTTTAAACTTGTTGTTTTATAGAAACCACAAATGAACACTAGTCACTTTGTGTTATTCATTGTCTAAAATAAGATTGCAAAATTTCTGACCTGAAACTCTGAACTACACAGTTCTTTTGGATGAGCTTCCAGTCCCTGACTCTCTCTTGCCATTTCAGTTGATGCAATTTTTCTTTCTCAAGCTCTGATTTCATTAAATTAAAGAGCAGCTTGGCAGTTGCCCTCTCATTACCCAGCAGTGCTCTGTTTATATTCTGTGCATGAAAAAATAAAATCAGGAGTAGAAGCAGCATACAACATGCAAAACAAAAAAAAAAAAATTGTGTCTTCCACACAAAATGAGGGGGAAAAAGAATACAAATGATAACAAATACCCTGCAAAGTAGAAATCTCTCTATATTTCAGTGATTGATAGGCAGAAAAAATTATTTCATCTAGGAAAAAAAAGACATTCTAGGAATATTCAGACTGCTGTCCTGCCCCAAGTAAAACATTTACCATGGCCTTATTGTTAATGAGCTTGTGAACATCAGCTGCCAAGAAGAAGGCAATTTCCTCCAGTTTCAGAGTATACTTGGTCAGTACATCTGCTATCTGTGCAATAGAAGAATAAGGAAAAGCAACAACAAAAAGTTAACTCACATATCAGTTTCCCAAGTTAAAAAACTACATGAACAAGATTTTTTTTTTCCATTAAAATGAATTTCATTAGATTCATTAATTATTCATTAATTAAATCTACTAAAGTGAATGAAAATTAATTGGATGACACACACTGAGAAGTAAATTTTAATATATTAATCTGAGTTAACTTGAAGACTGATTTTTTTCAGTAATTCATAAAAATAGTAACTAAAACATTCCTCTTTGCTACTACTCAGCTGATTTCTCTTTAATATCTGTGATAATTGAGTGCTCTGCAGACAAGCTGCAATATGAATTTAAAAATCAAACCAACTTCCTTTCAAATATCTGAAGGGAATCCACCAGTGCCTGTTTTAAGTGAACACAAAATTAAAGCAAATGTGTTCATCTCTGACATTTGTTGTAACTAATCCAACAGAAAGGTTACTGGTGATACTCTTGGACCTTTTCATCACACCTGAATTACAAAGAGAGGAGAAACTGGCACTGGTAGAACAAACAGCTTTTCTTTGCCTACAAGGACAGTGCAGCAAGCTCTTCCACAGTCTATCAATTTTTTTATCCAAATATTTCCTATGATGTCCAATGACTTTTACAGGTTAGGCTGAAGGCTACAAAACTGCAACACTTTTGCTACTGATCCCAGCCAACCCAAACTAAAATCAAGCTAGGTCACGTCTGTGCTTCTTCTCAGCTGCAGAACAGCTATGTACCCCCAAAAAAACAGACCAAATGAAAGTTTGACCTATATAACCCTCCAGGGAAATAAAAGCAGCTCACATATTCCCTGAACCTTTAGTATAGGTAATTGTGAAAGAAAGAAACCTTCAAACTAGGAAAAAGTAGCTTTTCCTGATTATGTGGGTATAAAATGAGTGAATAGTTTATTGGTAAAAAGAAAGCAATCACCACACAACAGAACTACTGGCAGATCTCTGACTCCTGAGGAAACCAGCTACTCTTTGCTCTGCACCCAGCATTATATTAGCAAATAACAATCTTATGCTAAAGTAATAGTTATTAAGACTGCAGCTCACTTTCATGGCTCGACTCCTTTCAATCTCCTTCAGGGATTTGTCCACTGCCCTAATCCACTTCCTTCTGTTTGAGGACTCCTGGTGGATCATATTCCAGAGTTCTTTCAAACCCTGCAATAAAAATCTACTCTCAATTTCACTAAAAAGTGAATATATGTAAAATAAAATTTTGAAAGTATAAAGCAAATAATTTAGGACTCCAGTGAGCCATAAGAAGATGCTACACAGAGCAGATACAAGTAACTGAAGTTGAGCCCTTGCTCTGAGTTGCCTTACTTCAAATGAGAAACCTTCCAAAGCCATGTCAGATGCAATCTTTTCAAGTAGAAGTTTACTCTTTTCATCTGATTTCATCACTTCAAGCTGAAGGGATTCTTGAAGATTCAAAACAGAGGCTTCCATCTCCTAAAATGGCAGGTCAGAGTGATCATTTGAATATTGGGCCCTGACCTTAGAAGAGCACTCAAGACTGGGTTAAAAACTCCTGCCTTACCCTGCCAATGCAGTCCAGCTCCTGCTGCATCTCGGTCACTGCTGCATCGTGACGCTTTTGCCGCCGTTCTGCCAGGTACTTCCACGTGCTGCTGCCTGTTTCCTCAGGAACTGCCAAGGAAGAAATGAGGATTCTGTAGCCTGGTGCTGCTGCAGAACATGGGAATCATGAAAAATAAATCCACAAATCTACACTATGACTGCTGTAGTTTGTGCAGCTTTCACAGTGTGCAACATCTTTCCATGGGAAGTGCAATCTTAGCAAATGCAGGTTAAAAACACTAGGGCATATTTTAAAATTTCCTTTATTAACTTCTGATTTTTCAGAAAGATAACAGCATGGAACTATCAACTAGGCTCAGGCATGATGTAAAAAAATTGCAACATTTCAGGAATGAGATCTGATTACATCAAAAGTGGAATTTATCATCTAAACATAACCTGTGATTGACTGACAATTTCACAACTTTTTGGGTTTTTTTTCTTTTAGAAGACTCTTCATCTTCAAAATTACCAACAACTAATCAAAAATGTGTGAGGCCATTTCTGAGCTTGATTTTTGTTGCCTTGCAGGAGAGAGAGTCCCAGTGTGAGTGTAACCAAACTGTGTATTCTACTCCCCTCCACCTCATTTTGCGATGACCTGTTAACGATGGGTGGTTTTCAGTGCACACCTGACCCCCAGGATACCAGCTGGGTGTTAAAATAAGACAGGCAAACCCTGCAAGGCGAGCTGTTTCTTTATCCTTGAAATGAGTCAGCTGGGGAAACAGCAGCATCACCCATTCAGTGAGGGTCATCTGTGCTAATGGGCCACGATGAACTGATTATGCACTAGCAGAATGGGCAGCTGAAACAACTACCACAGACTCCAGAAATATTGGAGGACTCATGGGATTACATCATTCCATGCCATTGGGAACCTCCCTGCACTGGGGGATGTACCATCTGAACCTCACTGGATATAATTTAGGCAGTCTGGGGACTTGGGACACCACCACCACTGGACATCCAGAGGAGGACCCGAACTTCCACAAAACCACCCCTTCTGACAGGACTGCAACCACTGCAACCCTGACCAACAGGGTGCCAGCTTGTACTCTGACTTTGTGGTTTTCAACCAGTTTTTCTGTATCATTGCATTTGCTGTAATCTTTCTATTAAATTGTAACTGCAATTTGAAATCTCTCAAAAGGTATTTGTTATGGTATGTGGGGTTAATTTCTCCTGCTGGCTTACTTTCAAACCAGCACAACTTTATACCTTGTTCAGCTAAACCTGTTGCATGTACCACATGAATGCAAATTAAAATAGATGGCATTAAGGGAAACCAGTTTTACCAACTACATCAGGCAGGCCTCTGACTTTCTCAGCTGAACTTGCATCTACATTTCCCCATGTCTCTGGAAAAGTTGTAGATTGTCTGAAATATTAAGAGAATAAAGCTTCATTTTGTACTAGAAATGCACCAGAAGAGGGACAAACATAATAGTATAATACACTTTAATTGGCAAAATGTAACATTAAAGTGAACATAGGTATCATTCTAACTTTAAAGAATATAATTCAAAGAATCAAAGTTGCTTCTTCTGAGACAAACTGAAGTCTGGGTAGATCCCAACTTCAAATCTATTAGGATGGCATTACAGCAATTACATGCTAGATTTAGAACGTGTAAACTACAGAGACTTACAGAATAGCTCTAAAAGGTAAAAAAAAACTATGAAATCTTAAGGAGACACTACCAAGAAATGTGGAGATAGCCTTTATCTGCCCAGTGCTTTTCTCAACAGCTTAGGCACTGTGTTTCTCCATGGGGTCAGTGAGAATCCCTGTATCATTATTCAGCAGCTGGCTTAGGATAAAAAAGGATGGATGCATTAACTTCATTCTTGTTCATTACATTATCTTATTGCATCATGGTGTAAGCCATTTACTTGGAAATATAGCCTAAAAAATATGTGTCGCAGTGGGTGTATATCTAGATTGCTATGAGCAAAAACAATTTCTTTTTAAAAGGAAAGCCATACAATATGCCTGCCATTGCAAATATTAGTCTGTTAGCCTGCACTTCAACAGGCAGCAAGCAGTTCATTACACTAAATTTACATTTGGCAAGGAGACAGTGTATTACAAGTTGTTAGTGCTATTCAGGAGTTTCTAATTCCCAGTGAAAATCTGTCAATTTCATACCTTTAGTTATGAACATATAATTGGGGTTTTATGCTTCTGTTCCCTACCTGTCTGACTGTGGTGTTTTTGTGAAGTCACTGACGGGTGATTTTCCAACACATTTCTGCTGATTACTCGGTGATGGCATGGCACCAGCAAACATCTCTGAATGCCTATTTACAGTGCACTTTTTACTCTTCTTAGAGGACCTTGTTTTCTTCTTTCCTTCATCCAAAAGGTGGGCTAAGTGTGCCTTCAAAGAACCATAATCTCAACAATTAGAATTCCTTCAAACCTACTGAATGGCGAACAGCGACAAAATAATTAATAAAAAATAGTCGGGGAAAGACAGCAGAAGGGAAAGGTAAAATAATGAACCCTACCTGCCACATGCACAACCATTTTCATCTAAGGCTATTTTCAAAATGAGAAAAAAAGGGATAATCTTCCTCAGAGAGGAAAAATGGAGTAACTGGATGGTGTTGCCTTGCTTACAGTTACCAGAAAAGTCAACAGCAGAGTGAGAAATCTGTCTGAATCTGGCTAACTGTGCCTCTAAATGTTTTACTGCTGTGTTATGATTCTGCCTTCAGTTAATATAACCTGATATACAACAAAGAGAAGGGAACACATGTAGATGCATTGCAGAGCATATGCTGGAGATAACACATTCATTTTCACGAAAACAAACCAAAACCAGAAATGTTGAAAATGACCTGGGGTCATTTCAACAACCAGAAAACTGACTAACACAACAAATTCCTTTGGCTTTTGCCAAATCCTTTGCTTTTTTTTACCTTGGCCTTGAAGATCTGTTTACAGCCTTCCTCTCTGTGAACATGTCACTCCCGTCCCATTGAGAACTCGTGGCTCATCGCAGCTGACCGGCCGGGCCTGCTTCCAGAAGAACTGGCAACTCCAAGCTGGGAGCCAAGAGGAGATACAACACTTCACTTGGAAAAGGGCCTTCTTGTTCCTTGAATCACAGAATGGTTTGGGCTGGAAGAGACCTTAAAGATCATCTTAGATCATTTTCCAACCTCCTGCCATGGGCAGGGACACCTTGCACTGTCCCAGGTTGCCCCAAGCCCTGTCCAACCTGGCCTTGGACACTGCCAGGGATGAGGCACCCACAGGCTCTCTGAGCACCTGTGCCAGGGTCTCAGCACACACACAGGGAAGAAATCCTTCCCAATATCCCATCTAACCCTGCCCTCGGGCAGTTTGAAGCCATTTCCCCTTGTCCTGCCACTCCAGGCCTTTTTCCAAAGTCCCTCTCCAGCTCTCTTGGAGTCCCTGTAGGCACTGCAAGGGGCTCTAAGCTCTCCCTGGAGCCTTCTCTTGCGCACCCTGGACACCCTCAGCTCTCCAGCCTGTCCTAGAGCAGAGGAGCTCCAGCCTTCAAAGCAGCTCGGGGAGACTCCTAACGGTGAAACTCCACGCCCATCGCCCACCTTCCAGGCCCTGCTCGTGTCGCTCCCGGCGTCGCTCGGGGTCGCTCCCGGCTCTCTGCCCGTCCCGCGCGGGGCCTCAGGCGGAACCGCGCGTGCCGTTGTCACACCAACGGGGCGGGGGGGGAGCGGGGCCGGCCCAGCCGCACCCACGGCGCCCCCCGGTGGCCGCTGCCAGCAGCACCCGGCCGCCTTCTCATCCCGGCCGCCTCGCCTCATCCCGGCCGCCTCGCCTCATCCCGGCCGCCTCGCCTCATCCCGGCCGCCTCGCCTCATCCCGGCCGCCTCGCCTCATCCCGGCCGCCTCGCCTCATCCCGGCCGCCTCGCCTCATCCCGGCCGCCTCGCCTCATCCCGGCCGCCTCGCCTCATCCCGGCCGCCTCGCCTCATCCCGGCCGCCTCGCCTCATCCCGGCCGCCTCGCCTCATCCCGGCCGCCTCGCCTCATCCCGGCCGCCTCGCCTCATCCCGGCCGCCTCGCCTCATCCCGGCCGCCTCGCCTCATCCCGGCCGCCTCGCCTCATCCCGGCCGCCTCGCCTCATCCCGGCCGCCTCGCCTCATCCCGGCCGCCTCGCCTCATCCCGGCCGCCTCGCCTCATCCCGGCCGCCTCGCCTCATCCCGGCCGCTTCGCCTCATCCCTGCCGCCTTCTCCTTATCCCGGCCGCCTCTCTTCATCCCGGCCGCCTTCTCCTCATCCCGGCCGCCTTCTCCTCATCCCGGCCGCCTCGCCTCATCCCGGCGGCCTTCTCCTCATCCCGGCCGCCTTCTCCTTATCCCGGCCGCCTTCTCCTCATCCCGGCCGCCTTCTCCTCATGCCGGCCGCCTTCTCCTCATGCCGGCCGCCTTCTCCTCATGCCGGCCGCCTTCTCCTTATTCCGGCTGCCTCGCCGTATCCCGGCCCGCACCCCCGGGAGGGACCAGAGCTCCGGAACCGCGGGTCACAGCCCCAGTTTGTGCTCGTCTCTGCACAAGGCAGGCCAGACTTCCCACGTCCGCACCTTTCAGCTCAGCACGGGAAGGAGAACACGCCTGCGCTTGGGGGAAGAAACCTCGAAGGTCTCCCCCGTACGTGCTCTGTCAATGCCTAAGCTGTTGCTGTTCCTGAAGATAGACTAACGCCTTTTTTTGCCTTGCAGCTAAAAAATACCACTGTTCTGGTCTGCAAGTAAAAGCGCAGAAACTGAACAAAATCTCTTTTCTCTTCAGCCGGGCCAGTTTCTTTCTTAAACTGCTTGCAGGACAGCCAAGATAAGAGTGCTCTGTGGTATGTATGTCCCGCCAGGCCACGTCCCTGCTCCCCACCTGCAGCTGAGCCAGGCTCCAGAGCCCGGGGTCCCACGGTGCAAGCGCTGTGCTGCTGAGCAAGGGAGCTCTTCATAAGAAACATCACCACACGCTGTCCTGTCCCCTATCAAAGATCCTGGGCCCCTCCACCGACATCCCCATGGAGGCAGGGCCAGGAGACCCCCAGCTTGCCCACGGGACAGCTTTCCTCATGGACACCGCAGAGGCTGTTCCCCGTTCCAGATGTTTGTGCCTGCCCACGTCCTGGGACACATGGGCAGGAGCTCGTTGCCCTCTGGCTTCCCCGAGCACCAGCACAGGGACAAAATAATTCGGTGTCTCCTGAGTGGTCTCCCCCAAACCAGTGGCAGCGCTCTGCACCCTGGAAGGGCGTGGGCATTCAGGGCTGCCAGCCCGTCCAGCTCACCAGCCTGTGGCCATCACCAGTGCCAGGCACTGCGAGGACGTCTCTCGGCTGGGACGGGAAGGAGCGAGGGAAGGAGCAATAGTGGGGAAGGCTCAAAGCTGGCAAGGTCACCAAAGCACGGAGAGGAGCCAGTTGGGGATGATGTGCGACAAGAGGGTGATCTAGAGGTGAAAAGGCTTTCCCGGAGGGTGTTGCTGGAGCAATCAGCTTTTCAAGTCTGCTGGTCATACATAGGGGTCACAGGCAAGTGCTCTTGTGAATGGGCAAAATCTTGACCAGGTCACCCAAGGAACTCTGGAGCTTTTTGTTTCAGGGGACTGAGAATTGTGGAGGAAGTGGGATGCTAGTATTCCAGAGTAGTGTTTCAAACCAGGTGCTTATAGATTGTGTCCTGCTGAAGGATTGTTCTGTAGAGCTTAAACTTGGTCTGAAAGTTTATGATTTAGTGCTGTCTCAGCCTCTGATAAATAATCAATAATGATAGTGTTCATAGGCATTAATCAAAAGCCCTAAAGCAGTGGCTCAGCATAGTCTGGTTCCCCAAGCTAAGTCAGGGGAGGTTTAGGCTGGATATCAGGAAAAGGTCTTTTCTCCCACAGAGTGGTTGAGCCCTGGAACAGGCTCCCCCAGGGAAATGGTTACAGCACCAAGCCTGAGTTCAAGAAATATTTGGACAATGCTGAGGCATGTGATGGGGTTGTGGGAGTGTCATGTGCCAGGCCAGGAGCTGGACTGGATGATTCTGGTGGGTCCTTTCCAACTCAGCCTATTCAATGATTCCATGATAAACATCCACAGGTACAATTGAGGCCATTCCCTCTTGTCTCTTCTTATTTGAGAGAAGAGTCCAATCACTACCTGGCCACACCCTCCTGTCAGGAAGTTGTGCAGAGCCAGAAGGTCATCCCTGAGCCTCCTTTTCTCCAGACTGAGCCTCCCCCAGCTCCCTAAGCTGCTCCTTGTTCTCCAGCCCCTTCCCCAGATCAGTTCACTTTTGTGGACATACTCCAGTACCTCAATGTATTTTTTGTCATGAGGGTCCCACAAACAACCTGAGGATTTAGAGGTTTGGCCTCAGCAGTGCCCAGAACAGGGGGACAGGAGGGCCCCAGTCCCGCTGGCCACAAAATGGCTGGTAGAAGCCAGGCTGCCAAGTGGCCCCTACAAAGTGACATCAGGAACCTGGGCTGGTGAGTTTTGTTTCCCAGGGAAAAGGGCCAGCACTGGTGTTCAGGGGCCTGTGGTGCTGAGTGGCCGGCTGTCTGCTAGGGTCTGAAAACCACAAAGCCCAGAGCACCAAGCACAATTTCATTGCAAAAGGCATGCCAAGGGGACTACAAAACTTCCAAAACATGGCTCCCTCTCCACAGAACCCTTCTCTAGGCCACAGCAACCTGAACAAAAATGATGACCATTTTCACTGCAAAACAAAACTTACCAGCCCAGGTTCCTGGTGTCAGCTTGCAGGAGGCACTTGGCACAGTCAAAGAAGCCTCAGTTGGCAATGATGGCAGCTTGGGTCTGGGAGTCATCCTGCGCCGTGCGGAACATCAGCAGGCAGCCGGCCACTCAGGGCCACAGGCGTCTCAACACCAATGGCAGCCTCTTCCCTGGGAAAAAAAACTCACCAGCCCAGGTTCCTGGTGTCAGTTTGCAGGGTGGACTTGCCACTGTTAAATCAGGCTGAGTTTGTCCTGGTGGCAGTTTGGGTCTGGGAGGCAACCTGTGCCATGCGGAACCTCAGCAGGCAGCCGGCCACTCCTGGCCACAGTCCTTCAGCACACGTCCAGGTGTGTTTCTTGCTCATCTGGGCATGTGCTGGCTCATGTTCTGGTGACGTGGTGATTTGTCTCTCTGCTTCAAAGTAGAAGTTCAGTAATTCTTTTTTTACCAGCCCAGGTGTAGCAGAGGATAAACACAAAGCAAAGGGGAAGCAGGTCTTTTCCAGGAGGCAGAAGAATCTGAAGTGGAGAACAAAGCCTCGAGGAGCCTGTCACAAA